GTGCTCTCTCTCATTCTCTCTCTCGCCAAAAAACAAAAACAAAAACAAAAAACTCATAAAAGCACTTCAAAATTCTATCTTTTTAGTAATAATTAAACTTTGTAAGTTTCCTTTACTTAGGCCATAGTTATTCCTCTAAATTTTGCATTGAACAGATTATTCTTTTAAGAGAAAATAGCATTTAGGGCTATTTTTTTTTTCCTTGAAGCTAGATTTAAGTTTATGCCACACATTTTGAAAGCTACTCTTCTTTTTATAATTGAAGCTTATTTTAAAAAAATTCTAAGAGATTAATTTAAAAATTTTATTATTTAAAAATTTTATTGTATTGTGAATATTTGGACCTCTTTGAAGTTACTGCTGCCCCGATTCTTCATATTTTGACTTTGTTGTAGGGAGGACAGTGCCGTTATTTTTAAGAAAATTAAGAAACTGGGTCTGAATGTAGCCCAAAGGCAGTGACCATATGTCGTTGTTTGCTTGGACCCAGTTGCAGTTTCTATCTGCTGTTCCAACATAATTGCTATAGTACCCCTTTCCTTCTCAAAGTATCCTGATAAATTATATGGTCACCTTACCCAAAGGTATTTAAAAGGCTGAAAACTCTTGTAACAGATGCCCAGAAAGTGCTCAAGGTGAGGTGCAAATATTTCAATGCTCTTTGATGCAATTATCCTGGATTCCTTTCTGCTCCTGCCCATTTCCCCATTCTGGTCCTGTTTCTGCTTGAAACCTGACTTTGTTTCTTGTATGTAAATGGTTCTCGTGTATGCCTGCCTTCTGAACTACCCAGTGATTTGATATTCCTAGCTTGAAGCTTTGTTCTTCCCAGGAACTTGGTTCAGCCCTGTCTTACTTTCTCCTTCTGCTTTGGACTTGCTCAACCAGAATGCCTGACCACATCTGGCAACTCCTGGGCCATCCTCAGTCTCTCCCAAAGGAGAGAAGGGTAGGAATTTAGACTATAGCAGAACCAGGACTTATGGACAAGTCTCCAGTGCTTATTGGGTTAGGGTTGACTATCCATTTTTCTCTTAGTGCAAAAGCAAGTATGTAAGTAAAATAAAATGAATTTAGAGGTAATCACTCACTTTCCCACATCTGTTCTCTGGCTTTTCAAGTCTACACTCCTATTTTTGGCTTGGTTTTGTTTTTTGTTTTTGTTTTGTTTTTGTAAAGATGTAGTAAGACTGGTTGACAAAATCTAAGTGATCTAGTTAGGAAGCATATGGATGTACCACTTTTTCCTGATAATTCTCTGATATTATTTCACTGGGTAAACATTTAACATTTCTACTAAATATTCTTTCTTCCCATATGGCTGGCCAGTTAGGAAATTGGAAATGATCATGGTTCCTTACCCGCAGGGATCCTCTCTCGCAGTATTCGATCACCCCGAAGATCATGGTGTCAAGCTTCACTGTGCCGTAGAACTTGGTGAGGTTGTAATAGTCAATCTGAAGCAACTAAGATAACATGTTTAGTTATAAAGCAAGTCAGCCAGAGAGCAGGGCCACAGTAAAAATTAATATGCTAATGAAACATGCCGTGCTTTAGGTCTTTGGGAAGATGTATTATTCCTGATACGTTGGAACGTCAGTACATTTCTCACGGCCACTATATCTTCCTCAACAGTTTTTCTTTTATCAGCAAGGAGCCTGGAAGACGAACCTTTGACGACACGCAAATAATATCAGGGCCATTTTCTAGGACATGCTAATAGATGTCTAAAATTTTTTACACCATCAAACACCACTCTTCAACTTCTGTTGGTAGAATTTTCAACAAAGAAGTAGAGTCTCCCATTTCTTGGTCTGAGGGCTTTTTTTGGTCTCCGTCCCCCATAACATCTGGCTCTGCCAGGGACTTCAGTGCTCAGGGAAGATGGAGTGAAGCTATTTCTCCTTTAAGGATTTCAAGTAAGAGATACATACCTTGTTCAATTCTATCTTCTGTTTCTCAGTGAAATTGCCGTCGTTGTGCTTGAGATCCTTTAGAATCACTTGCTGCAAAGATCATTTGAATTAAGGAGATAATGCTGTAGCACGACCACTTCTGTGCATATTATAATAATTTGTTGTGCATCTATCTTCCCTGTATACTGTAAGCTCTTGAGAGCAGTGACACGATTTTATTGATATTTATATCCCGGGTGCCTAATACCTGCCATAGGCTCAGGTTTGAATGTTTCTTTGAGAATGACTAAATGAAAAGGGAGGGCCCAGGGAGGAAAGAAGATACAAAACCCCCATGTGCGATTGTTGTACTCTCACTGCAGCGAGCCACAGTATCATACTAGGGTAGTTTGGCCAGCTCTGAACTCTTTCATTTCTCCTTTTCCTTCCTATGCTCCACCCTCCTTAAAAATTCTATTTGTCCAGGCTTGTGAGTTTTGTAACCCTTGAAGCAGAGCCCTGCCCATCCCTGTGAAAAGCTCCAGGAACAACCCCTGGAGGCAGCCTGCACCATTGCACGGTCCACATCAGGAGCCAGGGCAAGGATGAGCAGAAGGCCTGGAACACAGCCCGACTGAGAGTTCAGAGAAGCAGAGACTAGTCACCTTTTTGTCATATTTGCACTGCCGGACTCTCTGAATTGTGTCTCGTCTCTTGTCATCGTCGATCTGGCACAAGAAAAAGCTAATTATTATAGACACTTCATATCTTGTCGCATCTACTGTGAAGGCAGAGATGGTCTGCCGGGTGGGTGTATCTGTTGGTTCACAGCATGCCGGGAAGGCTTCTGGCAAAACTGTGACAATTGCCTTGTGTTTCCCTGTCACTACTCATCTTCCCTCCCCACCAGGGTCTTCTTCCCAGGTATCTACCTCTCATCCTTACCTCTGGGTCTTCCTCCCTCTTCCTCCCTTCTTAAGGCCTGTCAGCCAGGGATTTCCTTTGCTTCCTTCTCTCCTGGCCCATTCTGCTGGGAATCATTGTCTGTAGCTAGAGACAGGTGCTCCTAGGGGAGCCTGTTGTGCTCTTGAGTTGCAAACTCACACCTCAGCGTTCAATTAGCAAAGCAAGTGAGGACACTGGGTGGGGTGCCTAAGGGGGGCAGCCCCATCAGCTCTGGGTTCAGCGGAGAGTTGCCAGATCATCAGATTTGTCAAAAGAAGCTGGTAATATGGATTTTCCTATGCCATTCCAAAATTTTTATATTTGGCAATTAATTTTAGAAGACGTTAAATATTAAATGAAACCACACACACACACACACACACACACACACACACCTGCAGGCTAGATATGGCTCTTGGTCTGCCAGACTTCTGGTCTCAAGGCAGAAAAAAGATTGAGAAATAGTGCATCTTTTAATTTGGTTCTCATAGAAACCTGTGATGTATTATGATATTGGTTAAAACTTACCTCGTTAGGACCTTTTGAGATGTGAGCAAAATAAACTATATCAAATTCCAAGCATGATGCCTGGCACAATGCAGATTAACAGATGTCAGATGTCTTCTCTTCCTCTTCTCATTTTACTAATGGGCCACATACGGGTTAAATGACACTAAGTGTCACATATGGGCATGCCAAAATCTGAGCTTGCTGCCTTGTCTCATATTCTTTTTTCTGAGCCCTCGATTAGTTCATTTAAACTATTTGAACCTCAGTACTTCATCTGGGAAATTCTAACTGACAGGGGTCCTGGGCATCAAATGCAATAAAGCTTGTGCAATTTTCTTGCAAATTTGAGTGTTTTATCCTCAAACGAGTTATCTTCATCTTTTTCATTGTTTTCATCTGTTATTCATCCCTTTGAACTTCCTGACTTCTCTCCTTGTCTGCTTTGGTTTTCTGCCCCTTTCTGTCCTCGTACAGGGATGTACTCTTTCTCATCCCATCCCGTGGTCTTGTTTCCTTATCTCTGCCTTCAGCACACATGCACATCCGGGACTTGAACCATTTCCTGTCTGGTGCTGCGGCATTTCCACCTCTGGCTGACTTTGGCTGACCTCCTTGGGCTTTCTCCCTGCTCCATCTGACTCACAGTGCTGGAAGACCTCTCTTGACAGTTAGTCCTTGGCCACCTGCTTCTCGGCCTGCCTGAAACTCAGTGTGACTGTGACGGTCCATGCCTCGAATCACCTCTCTGGTTCCTCTCTTAAACTTTTTGTCCCAAAGACTTAGTCCTTAGCCAGGTGAGTGGTTAATCTGATGAATTCATGCATAGAAATTGTGTAATGTCTGATGAGGGATGGATGGGTTATATTTCTAGGAATATCTACATTTGAAGAAAACAGAGACATAGTATTTTAGGCTACATCAAAAAGAACAAATATGAAATGTGGGGTTTGAGGCAGTGGGGGAGGCTTGTGAGGAGTGGAGGCATGGCTGGATGTGCACAGAGGTGGGCCACGTGGGAGCCCATCCTGGCGTCATACCAGAGGTGGAGGAGCACTCACTCCTTCTAGAGGTCTCCTCCCCCCTTCCTGGGGTACTGTCAATTAGTCATTTAGGTCCAAAAATTCTCTCTTGGGAAGTCTGATAGTCTTACGGTCATTTGCACCTTTCTGTGAATTACTGCAAGATGGATTTTATCCTGACGCTTGCCTGAGATAGAGTGGTCTTTGCAAATAGAAGTCTTATGTGTGAGGTTCCCAATGCAACAGGAGGGTCAGTCAGAGCAAGAGCATTACTGGGCGCAAGGGAGATCTAGTCCTTGTACAGCGTGAGGGCATCCTAGCTCTTAGAGTGCGACATGCAGGAGATGGACACACCTGACCCAGCTGCAATTGTACTTGTGCTGGTTTTAGGCAGGGAGGCATCTCAAGCCACACTATCCTATCGACTTGGCCCTAGGCTGAGGAACCCCACCATGCCCTTCATGTGGAGGTTCTGGGTCTCCTTCTCTTAGTGTGCTTTGGTCTAAAAACTCTGTAAGAATATGGTGAATGGTAGGTTTTAGGATCTTAGACTTCACAGTTAGACAGACTAGGTTCAAACTGTGACCATGTTCCCCAGGTTCTAGCCCTGTTACCTCCCAGGGTTTGTCGGGGGAAGATGAAATGGGTCAATGCCCCTGGCACGGGAGAAGTGCTCAGTAAGTGTCAACTCTTATTATTTGCAGTAATCCTACTCATTAGCTGTGCGTGACCCTGCACTGTTTCCTAACCCCACATCCTTTGGTTTCCTCATCAGCAAAGTTATGATAAAGTTTAACTCATGCGCTCCTTCTGGCGAGTACTGCAGATGAGATGATTGGGCTCCAGCACTGGCTGTGCCCAAGGGGAATGATTATTCCTGGCTGCTGTGATGTGTCCTGGCAGAGGGAGAATGCAGGCAAATGTCAGCAGAGGCCTCTTTCTTCAGCAATGAGCAAGATAAGCATACATCCTTAGCATGGGCAGAGTAGTAGCCAAGGCTTAGGGGGGCTCAAATGCTCTACTTATTTCTACATCGCTTGCATGACAAATGCACACCATATGCATTTCCCTTCTGGGTCAGAGGCAAAGAATGAGTAACACACCAAATCTCAGCCTCCACTGAAGTGTTCATTGGATCAACCAGCTGACATTGAGGACACTGGAGGATCAATGGAAAGACGGGAGCTGAGAATTAGAAAATGTCCAAGTCTTAGATTCTCAAGCAGAGGATCCCTGCTTGGCCCATTTCTTACCGTGTTACCAGCCTTGTCAAATACCTGGCAAGTTGCACCAGCCCTAGCATTCTTCAACAGGTGAGGTTCATCTTACCTTCAGGCTAATATGGTTAGTCTCATTGGTCTCCAGAGGAAAGATATTTTCAGAAGGAATGTGGGACCATTTTTTCTGACGAAGTTCATATTCTTTTTTATATTTTCTGTGAAAGGGAATAGAACCAGTCAGTAGGTTTTTATTAACATTCATGTCATTTAGCTTCTGAACACTAAGAGAAATTTAGAACCCTGACATTCTCAGGTAGATATGTGGTGAGAGATGTTAGCCCAGTGGTGTGATTCCATGTTCTGCAAACTGGTGAATGCTGGCCATTAGGTCAGCTGTAATGATTTCTGATGGTAGTTTAACTTTTTCTTTCTTTCTTTTCTTCCCTTCTTTCTTTCTTTTCTTCCCTTCTTTCTTTCCATTTCATTTTCTCAGGTCCTTCACTAAGGCAGCCCTTCACTATTATAAAGAATCTGAACTGATGACATGGAAAGAGTAAGGAAAAAACAGAAACAATTCAAAACTGGTAAGCTTGAAAAGCAAATATGTTAATTTTTAAGTCACCAGAGAATACACCAGATTCCTAAACAAGCCAGTTCTTCTTCTTCTTTTTTTTTTTTTAAAGATTTTATTTATTTGACAGAGAGAGACACATCGAGAGAGGGAACACAAGCAGGGGGAGTGGGAGAGGGAGAAGCAGGCTTCCCGTGGAGCAGGAAGCCCGATGCAGGGCTCGATCCCAGGACCCTGGCATCATGACCTGAGCCAAAGGCATATGCTTAATGACTGAGCCACCCAGGCACCCCAACAAGCCAGTTCTTCTTATGCATTTGTGCCTTTAAGAATATGTGTATAGGGCGCCTGGGTGGCTCAGTTGGTTAAGCGACTGCCTTCGGCTCGGGTCATGATCCTGGAGTCCCAGGATCGAGTCCCACATCGGGCTCCCTGCTCAGCGGGGGGTCTGCTTCTCCCTCTGACCCTCTTCCCTCTCGTGCTCTCT